TCTAGTACATAGAACGAAATTGATGTCAATTGTATCTCAAAGAGGATTCCCGGTTTTAACCCAAGTACCATGTGGGGGAAATAAACCTCTTTAGGAAAGTGTTCACACGCCTTTGACAGTGTATCAAGGATCTAGTCTTATGGGACATTGGAATTCTCATGTTCATGTTCATTATTCTTGGCTTGGAGGAAAGGCAAGTTTGATCAAATTCACACTAGTGTAGTCTATATAATTTTCTGTAATTTCTTAGACTTTGTTAATACTTGATTAAAATACATTGATTTGTATTTTATATTTACAATTACATTGTAATCATTTATTTTAGGTTTTGTTCCCACACAAATTTAAGTGTTTTTCTTGTTAGAAATCACTGTAAAACCTAACAATGTGGACGGTTATTGCTGTTTTAGAGAGTAATTGTGGAATTTAGGGGGTTTAGTGGAGAAGGGTTTTTAGTGGCATGAATTCCCAGAAACTTGTTCCAGAAAAAGGTATAAGTTGCCTCTCGCTCCACTCTCTCTCCTCACATCTTTGCAAACACTTCGCGATTTTAGTAATTTACCCACTGCAAAATCGCATTTCTGTTTCCGAGCATTCTCTGCAATTCCGAACCTTAGACTGATATTCGTTGCTCCGAACATATAGATCGGCAAATTCCGCGTCTGATAGAGGTATTTTTCGTTGAAATTTCTTCGATTTTCTTTGCTTTTTCGAACACCCCTCTTTTTCCATTTTCACGCACTTCCTTTGCCAAAAAATGGTTGGTGACCAAGGAAAAAGGCCAATGGAATCCGAACCAATTGTTGAGGAAGAGGAGGAAATGTCGCAGTTGATTCTGAGGCGGAATCGCCCTTTGGCAATGATGCCCTTTCTCAGCGGCCAGAACCCTAATGTCAGGGCTGGACCTGCTGCTATCCCGAGGGGAGCTGCACTAAGGGATGTTCCTTTCACATGCGTGCCCCCGAGAGACTCGAAAAGAGCTAATACCTCTGGCCGAAGTGCGACCTTGGCCTCTAGGCCGTTGACTCCCGAGGAAAGGGAGTGGACTAATGTCCAAGAGAATGAGGGGCATAATGATTGTTGCGCCTTATTCATGGTGGGTCCAAAATGACGCCAAGTACATACTGCTTTGCCGAACAACTTGAGGTGTTCTAAAGCATAATGGAGGAGGACGGGTATTGCTGCTGAATGCCTTCTGCCAAAGAAAGAATTCATCGTCCCCCGCCTGGATATATTGGGGTTTACCCTCGAAAATTGCAGTACAGGCTTCGGTTTCCCGTCCACTCCTTTGTAGTGAAGTTGCTGAACGGGTACAACATTTCTTTGGTTCAATTGACCCTCGTTAGCATCCGAAGGATAATGACCTATCTCTGGGTCTGCCTGTTTTATGGGCTTGAGCCGAGCGTGCACTGTTTCCGCTGCACGCATAAGTTGATGCCGAACACGCAGTCAAACAAATGGCATGGCCCTGGCTGGTGGCAGATTGAGGACGAAAGGGGGTTCCTTTCGACTTATCCAAATGATACTTCGGATAAGGATTGGAGAGGGCAGTGGATCTAGATTCGGGCGCCGTCAGACGAAGATCATCCAAATTACTTCGGCGGTCCCCGATACTTAAGGAAGCCAGACCCTAAAATATTGAGCATTGGTCCTAATGAGTTCACCAATGCTGATCACAAGCAGATGGAGCTCTTTGGCCGAAGCCACATGCTCGGGGCCACAGGCCGAATGGCGAATGTGCCAACCATATGGCTGCCTTGCTGCCATTATATCTTCCAAGAGAAGATCCTTACTGTTGACGGCCTCAGCCGGAAGTACCAAGGCGGTAAGGGATTCGGCTAGGGCCGAAACTTTGTTATTTTTGATTATTTTTTGTTTTCTGATGCTTAGCTCTTTCGGTCAAGCTAACCTTTGTCTTTTTTACTTTTCAGAGCTGTGCGAAGAAAACTAGGGCATTGATTACGAAGTGCTCGGGATCAGCCAGGAAAGGAATCCGATCACAAGCACCTTGAAGATCACTAATTCAAAGAACCGGGCCCTTTCTCTGCATCCAAGGAGGCTTCAAATAGTCAGCACTCTCGAGTACCAGACACAGAAGCCCTGGTTCGAGAAAATCGACCCTTTTTCCTTCATTATGCTAAAGAAGACGCAGCTGCAACTATCGCTGCTGCGGTCTCCCGATGCGGAGCTGAGCCTTCTACATCCACTACTGGGCCAAGGGTAGACGTAGCCGAAGGAGAGGAAGATTCTGAAGACGAGCGTCTGCTGAAGAATTTGGTAAGACTTCAAGACTTGTCTAAGTTTCTTCTCTTTTTCTCTTTTCCTTATGCTTTGCTCCTTTTACTTAGCTTTTTCTTTGAATTTTTTCCAAATTTTTCTAAGTACTGAGCTTCGTCTTGGAGTTTGTTTGTTTGTTTTTTTTTAATGATCATATTGCTCTTTTTTTTATGATCATACTGCTCTTTGCCCCCTGTCTCTTCTACTGCAGTCTGACGAAGAAGAAGAAGACAAGAGACAGCCAGCTGAACAAAAATCTTCTTCGGACGAGCTTCTGCCGAAGAAATGGCTGGACAGAGAAGAAGAAGAGCAATCATAAATCCGGGGCAGTTTCAAACTGTCGAACCTGCTGCAAATCGACCTCGGTTGGATGAGGACCAGGCCAAGGTTGCTAAAGAGAAGACTCCTCCTCCTCTTGAGATTTGGGACGAGGAAGTTCCATAGAGGACCCCTTCAAGCTTACATCCATCTCCATCTCCTCAGCATGTAGCCAAACCTTTTGCTGATGAGGTTCGGATGGAGGCTGATGCACTAATCGCACATCCCGAGGATGATGACATGCAGATACTTGATGGGAGGCCTGAAGACTTTACAGAGGTCGAGGAAAGAGTTGACGAGCCGAAGAATTTTGATGTTCCTTCGACTTCAGCTGGAAACTCATTCAATTGCTTCCAGTCTTCAGGGATGGGGTTTGAGAGTGCCCCACTATTGACTGCTATCGAGTTCTTCGGTGATCTGTCTGGCCTTTCCAATTTGGAGAAGGCAAAGGTCGGGTCCCCTCGGGCTATTGTTGGGGTGACCGAGCCCTTTGTTAGGGTACCAGACCCTTTTGCTGAGAATCAAAAGCTGCTGATGCAGGTAAATCTGCTCAAACTTAAGCTTTTTTACTTGCGTTTTTCCTTCTGTTTCTTCTTTTTTACCTAAGCTTTTTTAGCTTAAGTTCTTTTCTTCGGCTGACTCACTTTTGAACCTTGTAGGTCGTTCATAACCATGTCATGGCTATGGGAATGAACGAGGAGTTGAGGAGCAGGGCCGAAGAAGCAGAGTGTCGGGCTCGGCTTGCAGAACTTAAGAGCCAAAAGGCTGAGGAAGAATTTGCGGTGAGCTGAACTCAAATGAATGCCATGGCTACCAGCTTCTGCTAGGAAATCGAACAATCCATTTTTCCTTGGATTTACGAAGGCCAGGCCTTGATCTAGGGGTAAGGGGCTACGGATATTCCCAGCTTCAAGGCTTGGATTGAGCAAAAGATGAAGCAGGAAGCTGAAGCTCGGCAAAAGATGGCCGAAGAGTTCAATGAGAAGGCCTCTCTAATCCAGACTGAAGCTCAGCAAAAGCAATCTGAGTTGGAGGCAGAAGCTCGGCGGCTGAGCGATCAGCTGAAGGCTAAAGAGGAAGAACTTTCCAAGGCCAAGATTGAGTTGGATGGGGTCCAGAGCCAACTGAAAATGCAGACAGATGAAGCTGCAAAGGCCAAGGATGAACTTGAGGCTGCCCAAAATCTATTGCAAGTCAGAATTTACACCCAAGATCAATATGATGAGGGTTTTGATGATGGCTTCAAAGTAGCTGGGCGCCTGAATTTTCATGCTGATCCGAGCATTAACTGGGATGTGGCTGAAGTGGTCAATGGACCCTGACCATCCAAATCTGCACATCGCTCATGAAGCTGGGGTTGCTTTCCTCGCTCACCTAGCCGAAGCTGAAGCCTAAGCTGAGAGGGAAGCCAAGGAAGCTGCTAAGAAAGAACCTCAACCTTCTTCCTCTTCAGTTGGTGCTGAAGCATAGGTACTCGGGCAGGTGTCTACAGAATCTTACAGATTAACATGTGCTTAATCGCTTATCTATCGCATCTGCTTTTTGCCTTTCTTTTGCTTTAGCTTGCCATGAATTTGTACAAACTTTGTTTATTTAAAGTATTTATACTAGGTTCGACAACTGTATTCTCCGCTTGTGGGCGGCCGCCGAAGTAGAATTTCATAGTACTTGACTTGAAACCCTTGCTTTTTGATGTGTCTCGGAGATCCGAGCACACTTGAATTGTTGATGCACTGCGTTGCCTTTATTTCCTATGCCTTTCTCTTTTTAATTTGTCTTCTTTCTTATTGATTGAAAAATTCTCTAAGTATAGAGCTTCGGCTCAGAACTGTATAGCTGAGTGCCTCTTGCCCCCCCTTAGAAATCTGAAGTTTGTGATCTTCAGGTTTTCGAGGTGCTTGCTTCAACTTTTTGGTGACAAATTCAGGCTTTGAAGTTTCTGCCATTTTTCTTTTCTCTTCTCACTAGTAGTAAAACATAAATGCGCACCGGTTCAAAACCCCCCTTTCGCACTGGTTTTGAACTGGTGTAGATTTGAAGGATGGCAAATAAAAAAAAACTTTAGCATCGGTTAATAACTTGTTATTCACACCGATTCTTACTGTAAACCGGTGCCCATTGGTTTGAGAACCGGTGCCCTACAGTGCCTATTTTATTTTTTTATTTTTTTTGCTTTTTTCTGACAGCAAACACCTTTCAAAAAAACTTATAATACATACTTTACTAACAATGTATATATGTGTATAACAAAATACAATGACCAAATAATTAAGCAGCAAACAGCAGCAACAAATTACAACAACATATTTTTCGAATGTCAAACATCAACAGCGAAAACCATATGCACCATCCTTCTCTTTGCTACCAGCACTTCCCACAACATAGCAACCAGTTAATTTTGCGAGTTATCCAACTAATTGCGGAACAGCACCAAATGCTGCAGAGACAAAGACACGATCTCCCTTCTTAGCAGATCCAATCTCATACAAGCCTGCATAGGTTGTAATGCCAGGCATGCCTACAGATTGATATAGGACAAACATATCAAATGACATAAATTGTTTCATAAGAAAAACAATGTGAGAACCAAGAAGAGATTAGATGGCTGCAATGTTGATGAATCAAGCAGGAAGCTTACCAAGAATCCCAGTATAGTAGGAAAGTGGAACATCTGTATGCTCGATTTTAAAGGAAAGTTGTGGTGATGAAACAAGACTATAATCTTCCAATCCAGTAAATCCCCATACAAGGTCGCCTGCCTTGAAGTTGCTGATTGCTATGTTGTGGGAAGTGCTGGTAGCAACACTTGCTTCTTTGCAAAGTGAGTAAGGGTGAAAAATAGATTACTTGAGAGTTGTGAGATTCAAAGGTCTATACCTGTTTTTGATCTGACAAGAGTGGTCCATTCACCGATAAGTTGCACAAATGAATCAAGAGGTTATAATGTTAGCTCATCTAGGCTTATTGGTGGTTGCTATGCATATATGAAACACAGAAGCTATGAGTATCTAGAGAAATAATGTAGCAAGGACAAGCATTTCAAACCCCTCAAGACTGCTGAGCAGATGCTTAATGCTAGCAGTTACTAAGAAAGCTCGTCATTTGCAAAGTTAATTTAGGTTGCTTGCTGGCAAGTGGTGTAAATTCTTTAAACACCATTTGGAAAAGAGACAACCGTAAACTCTTGAAGGAATTGGAAACAACAAACACATTGACACAACCACAGACACTATAATCAATGAAAGCAAAAATATTAGGAAAATGTTTCTCTGCTTATACTATTAGCAAATTCCACAATTAACCTTTCATTGCAAGAGTACTTAGTTTATAGCTGAGCATCTACATTCACCAAATGCCTCTATGGTTATATAGAGGCTTCCACCCTAAATAGTCTAGGGAAATGGAGACATTCACCAGTTTTTGCACAATATCAGAAGGTTTTTAAACATATTTATTCTTTAGGAAATAGAGTATAAGCAATTGTGACCTGATTAAAGTTGGAAAAGGCAGCATCTTCATAATCATCGGTCACTGGAATTCCAACAGATGCCTGCATGCGCTGCACCATGCTTCTGTTTCCAAAAGAATGGAAGTCGCCTTATCAATTAAGTCCTGTAAGATAAAAAGCCTCAGTAACTACATACTTAAATCATGTCACATGAATATATATGTGTTGCTGAAAACATCAAATACATGTATGCATAAACCTACTAGCAATTTCAAAAAGTCGTCATTTGTAGAAAAACATTCGTGAATTGCCAATCTATCCCCATGAGCATATTATATCGAACATCCAGGTGGTTTATACCTTATAGCAGTGTATAAACTCTGGCCACGATACGATACTTCTAGCTTGAGTTATAAAGTCCATCAACTGATCAACACACATTACAGTTACTCAGCAAGCTTTATAATCCAATTTTTATCAAACTTCTTTTACTCCTATAATTTGTACCCCAAAAAAAAGGCACCAAAAAAATCCAAATTAACTGGCTTTTAGATAATTTATGGCATACTTGAACACACCTAACTTATACTTGAAAAAGCATCTTCATTGGAGTAATTGAAATTCATACACAAATTCATTGAATTTCACCAACAATTTTTCTTAATTTTTTATTCAAATGACAGTAAGCAATCATTAACAATCCATAAGATGACAGGAAGCAATCATCGCAATCAAAAGCACGGTAACCTATTCACATGCAAATTAAATCAAAATTCAACAGAACCCTATTTGATTCAATCAAAATTCAAAAAAGCACATATTTTTAGGGTTATTTGACTCAATTATCAAATTATGCTCGAAAAATAACATATTTTAAGGGATATTTGATTCAATTATCAAATTAGGGTCGAAAATTCAGAGGGAAATTTGATTCAAACATCAAAAATAGTTGAGATTTCGAACCCTAAACTTACCGCATTGACAATTAATATGAATCAGATAAAACATAAACCCTAGATTATGAAATTGATATGATGATTATAAAAAGAAACAACAAGTTACCTCAGAAGCTGCCTCTTCAATGGGGGATACACGGATTAAAAGGCGTTGTCCGCTTGAAACTAAACCTTAACCACCGAAACTCACTCCAACCACCCCGAAATACTCAACACTCACCCGATAACACTCACCCAGAAAATTCGAAAATCCGAAAACACTCACTCCAAAAACCATTGATCTAGAAAGAGAAAGCGAGAAATACCTGAATACCAGAAGAGGGGGAAGGTGGCCGGCGGTGGAGAAGGAGACAGAAGGAGAGAGAAACGGAAAGGGAAAGAGATGGTGGAAAGAGAAAGAAAGAAGACAGTAAGAGAAAAAAAGAAGATTTTAAGGCCCGATTTATTTTTATTTTTTTTTACCAATACCATTCGCACCGGTTCTGTTCGAACCGGCGCGATTAACTCATTTTCGCACTAATTTGGTTTGAACTGGTCCGATTAACTCATATTTGGCACCGGTTTTTAAAAATCGGTGGTGCGGTGCTCATTTATATTTTTTTACTAGTGTCTACTTTGCTTTTGAAAGGTCTGATTTCTTGCTCAGAAGTCGTAGACTCCGAAAGCAATCTCTTGTGATCCTTATAATTCATCCGAGGGAATGCTTATCCTCAACATTAATGTCAGGGCATTGATCCTTCCGAAGTACAATGCTTCATTAGGCAATACTTCGGGGGATATCAACACTCGGAACTGATTCATCCGAAGTACAATGCTTCATTAGGCAATACTCAGGGGTGTAATATCAGTTCCTATTTTTTAGGCAATGTTTTGTTGGAAATGACTCCTCTAAAGCACAAATACTAGGGCATTGATTCGTCTGAAGTACAATGCTTCATTAGGAAATACTTCGGGGTTTATCAACACCCGGAACTGATTCATCCGAAGTACAATGCTTCATTAGGCAATACTTCGGGGGTGTAACATCAGTTCCTATTTTTTAGGCAATGCTTCAGATTCGTCCACACCTCTTCGCCCGGAGGAACTGATACATCCGAAGTACAATGCTTCATTAGGCAATACCACGGGCGTGGAATCATTTATCCTCGTCTCAGCATGTTTTAACGACTTGCCGAAGTACAATGCCTCATTAGGCAATACTCCAGACAGCGCCAAAAGAAAACCTTGAATTCCAAAAAGCGTAGAAGGAAAAAATAGAAACTTGCTGAATTGAAAGAGATAATGGCTCGCAGGCCTTTCATTAATTCGAAGAAATGTACTTACATGGATTGTTCTTCCCCGAAGGGCTTACACATGATATCCTTTCAGTACATCAGCATTCCGAAGAACCAGATCCCCAATTTTGAGAGATCTTGTATTGACTCTTCTGTTTCGGGGTTTTCGGAGTCCCTCGGGAGAGTTACAATTCCAAGACTGGATGCCGAACGTCTGTACCTGCAAAACAACAGAGACTCTGGTTGGGTGGAGTTCCGGCTCCGACGATCAAGTTAGAATGTGTATGGATGGAGTTAAGGTTGCGGAAAAGTAAAGAGTCTTCTCGGATTCCGAGAGAGAATATCTGCAATTAATATTGCTCTTGTTGGTGAATATTTTTTTGAATGAATATTTTTTTGAATGAATGCATTTAATGGGAATATCTCCCTAATTATAGGGTCTGGAAATCATCCCCCACTTTCTAGGTTATGGACCCCAAAGATTGGTGGGCTGATTCATAGATTGGGCCAGGAAGGCCATTTTCTTCTTTATGACTTAGGATGCCACGTGTCAGCAGAGGATTGGTTCATTTTGAACCTCTCTGAGGGTGACACGTGTCACCATCTAATTGGGCCACGTGGGCCTGGGTATTTTTACCCAAAAACATTTACCCCTCACAGGTGTGACGTGGCAAGCCACGTGGCACCTGTGACAGGTGTCACATGCTGAGGAAGTGACGGTTCATCTCTTCTTCTTTTTTTTTTTTTTTTTTTTTTTGAATTTGAAGCAACGGTTCGCCTTCTAGGGGAGTTCCCTCCCTCTATAAGTAAGGCCCCCTCCTTTTCCTCACTTTAGCATTTTGAGAAAATTTTAGAGAGGGAGAAAAAGAAGAGCTCTAAGACCGGCTGCTTTTGCTTCCATAACCTTTGTTACTTCCACCTGACTCAACCGGTTACCGTCTGTGCTATCATCACTCAAGGTGCATCAAAACCGTCTCGGTATACTTTAGTAGATTCCTCTGATCTCAAACTACCCACAGCCGGTCAACCGTCTGGGGTATCAACAAGCAAAACTTCAGAGAACCGCCTAGGTACATCTTCAGTAATTTCTCTTGCTTTCCAAGTGGGTACATCCGGGCAACCGTCTGGGTATCTTGCAAGCAATTGATTGATTTTCGCCTGCCAATTCAGCCGGTCAACACCCTTCACTTTTAAAACATCTTCAAGGTACCGTGTCTACCCTTTGCAACTCTTTTGAGCTTTTCCGTCTGTATGCTTTATATGGAATAATGGACTCATCCACCACACACACGGCACAGCCTAGGACAGTAGTCAGTCGGTCTCCTGGTACGGCTAAGTCTAGGACTGGGGATGCCGTCTGGGGGTGCTTGGACCACCCTTGCTCTTCCTCAAATCCGACCGTCTATGTGCATGTGCAGGACAGTATGGCTCAGACGAAGCGGACGACATTCGACCCTGAATATACATCAGACGGCTCAGCTGGGGTGCCGACTGACATATAGTACTACAGTCCTCCGGGTGCACCCAGCACTCCAAGTGACGATATACTAGAAGAATCTGATAGTGGAGACGACGCTGAGACCGTCAAGCAATCTGACTCAGGGGAGTCAACCTTACTGCAGGTGGAAGCCTTCAATGAGGATGAGGAGGTGTAAAAATGACCGTCCATAACCAATCCTACTGAAGCGCACATGTCCGCCAGGGACATTGTTACCCTAAATGCCACCTTTCTCGCCTTTATGAAGAGATGCCCGGTTGGGGATAGGTGGGAAATCATAGTGCCGCCTGCAGAGGCAACAGTCATCTGGGATGACGACGGTGTTCATGCCGACAACTATTTTGGCTGCTATGAGGCGGCGTTTAATGCCGGCCTCCGGTTCCCTCTCCATAACGCGATTAAGGCCATTTGAAGAGGCTATGACCTTAGCGTCTGGCAATTAACACCCAATTCTTTGGTGAATATTTTAAGTTATGTAGCCGCCTGCGAGATGCAGGACGTAATGCCCAACTGGGAGGCGTTTGCACATATCACTAGTAGAAAAAATGAAAAAAGGCACCCCCTTTTTCCACCGGTTTTTAAAAACCGGTGGGAAAAGAAATGGGCGGGATTTGGATAATTTCTTTTCCACCGGTTCCTTATAAACCGGTGGCAAATGTTTGATTTCGCACCGGTTCACCTCAAACCGGTGGGAAAAGTTTAGCATAGAACCGGTCAATTTTCTTTCTTACTCTTTCATTTCCTCGATCTTTCCTCCTCTCTCATCTGCCTCTCTCTCTCCTCCATTGAAGCGTACTCGACATTCTCCATTGAAGGGGCTTCTGATTTGCAAGTTACCACCGTCGACCATTGCTGGGTCTGCCTCTAATTGTCGGTGCTAGTGATAGTGGGTTCCAGCCTCTAATTATCTCAAGCACCACCGAATTTGTTCGCAAGTGCCCACCATCGACCATTGCTGAATCTGCCTGCTCCGGTCGCACGCACCACCGTCCTTGTGCTCCACCACCACCGTCCAACAGCTGACCACCAGGTTCGTTGTTGAATTCTATTTATTTAACTTCTTACCTCAATTTCGTTTTCTTCTTGCTAGGTTTACAATTTTGATTGCAGTTTTTATGTCAAAATTGGGGCAATTTCATTGTTATTGTTGTTGTTTTTAAATTATTATAGGTTATTAGTTCTGAAATATATTGGCATTTTTCTAGGGTTTTGTTAATTTAGATTTTTCAATTTATTTTTATTAGCTTCTAATTTTCTAGAATACATGTTTGATTCCTTAATGGTCCATGATAGAAATGGAAATTTAGCATCCGGCACGATTGCGAACCTTGTTGATGAGCTTGGTGCTGTGGTTATTTACAGAGAAGGACTTCCAATGAATGTATCTGTCACCATGTCTAGCTCCTATGTGTCAACTGCCAAGGTTGATGTATGTGTAACTTCAATTCTTGAACTTCTTGTTATTGTTTATCATGCTGATCATACTTTGGTTTGGTGTATGAGTGACTTGTGATGGTTTGCTTCATTATGAATGTTAACATGAGCTATTTTGGCTCGGGCAAATGCTAGTGATACTACTCAAATTTAAGCTATTTTGTTGATACTAGTCTAGTTTAACTATTAAGTAGATTATTGGAATGACTTTTTAATTGTTTAGTTAATTTTATAATTTTTTTGGTGTGTGTGTGTGGGAGGGGAGTGACTGAAGATATCTCATTCTTGTCATGATGTGAACTCTGATGAATAGAGCAAGAAGCCCATAGCTTAGTGGAGCAAGGCTTCAGTTCCTGTGGCTGTGACCTGGGTTCGAGGCTCATATCCCCCCTCCCCCGTGGGTAATACCCCCTTGATATTCCTGTGATAGGAAATCAAGGTGAAGCCCACCCCTTACCCCTAAAAAAAATGAAGTCTGATTTTCTTATTATGCCAACATTCCTTCCTCCAAGAAAGAACGGTTAAATTATTTTTTCCGTAAGGCAATTCATGAGTTGAGTGGTTATTATTCAGTCTCTTTAATGAGGCTAACTAAGGATAATTAAGCATATGCTCTATAATTTATTAAACTAGATTATGATTTATGCATCATTGCTAGAAGAATTTTTAAGTGTATACACGAACAGTTAAGACTCAGGAGGTTTCTTTCATGTGATTATTTATGAACTAATTGCTACATTCCTGAACTTGTAGTGTTTTTTCCCCATCTGTATAAAGTAAATAAATATCTAGTTTTCAGTTCTTATGCCTTTACTAGAGAAGAAAATACTAGTAGTTATAACTGTTGATTCACATAATGTTTTATGGTCAGATCTTTGGTTATGTTCTTGGTGTTTCTGCTGGGTTTGTTGTTGGTAAGGCCCTATGGTTCATACTGGGGCTTGCATCGCTAATCTACTTGGTCAGGGTGACTCTCGCAAGTATGGCTTGTCTTCCTACCCATGTCGAACAATCGACATTCTGACAAGGGTATATAATTCTTACACAACATAACACTCCATGCTCACTCATTCACTGTAATTATCTTGAACCCCTAATTGTAGAGAAAAAAATGTACAAATATAATGAAGATGAGAATAAGTACGATATGTTTTCACAAGTACGTTTCACACAAGTATTTCAACAAAAATTAACTATCAAGTCTGCCTAACATGTGTGCATGCATCTGTATGCTTTAACTCACGCAAAGTCTTCTAAAAATGAACATGTTCCATATATGTCGTGTGACTCGTGTCCTTGCAACCATGTCCAATTCTAGGATGTGTGTCATATCTGATTTTTACATTCTAGTGTAGAAAATATTTTGATATGTACCTGCATCCCTATTCTCCTTCATATATACTAGAGGATTTATATCAACTATGGCAATGATAATGTCCTCTATGCAGTAACTCAGTTAGCACAAACTGTGATGCGTAGTGCTATTGGAAAAATGCCACTTGACAGGACCTTTATGGAGAGAGACACTATAAATGCAAACATTGTGGTATGATTCTTATCACCATGTCCTTAATCCTTTACTATTATACTTTTATCTACAATATAGAAGTTAACTGCCTGCACTATTATTTTGAGGTTGATGTTAACAGAATTGAATGTGATTAATCTCCACTGTTTCACAATCTCTGCAGAGATGCAGCACATCATTAGTGTTACTTCCATGTCTTTATCCATCAGTATAAAATAAACTTTCACTGGCCCACACAACATAGAGGTAAAGGTGTTGAGCATCAGAAACAAAGTCCCTTACTCGTGATCGTGGTGTTACTTGCCTTACTGCAAGAGAGAAAATTTCAGCAATCGGAATTCTGCAATACAGAATTATAGTGATTTGATCACTTAAAATTAAGGGCTATAGCTTTAAAGGTTGCCAGTTTCCCAGCAAAAAACTCTATCAATTTCATTTTCTATTACGAGTTTAAGATGTAAAAAGAACATGCAACAAGAGCAGTTAAACTCAACTGCAATCTTGAATTCTGATCAGTCTGCAAGGAGTGAAGAACAAAGACTTCTGCCAGTCCTGTCAAAAATTGACCAATCTGAAACCTGACCAGACTTAAACCTCAAAATAACAGTGCAGGCAGTTAACCTCTATATTGTCCTTATGGCGCGTTCAATTTGCTTTAAACTTAAAAGGTTTAATCTTTGCTTTCCTCAATTTATTTTTCCTCCAATATTTTACTTATTTAGCATTTTCAATTAATTGCAAATTCTGATTATAATTTGGACTAATTTGAGCTTGATCATGCTGTAGGACTTCAATATGAGTACAGTTGCTGATTTTATCAGATTAAACTCAGCTGATTTTTAGCAATTCTGTTATTATTTTGTGGCTCATATTTGGACTGTTGCTGTCTTTTCTTTGCTTGATCTAAAAGATTTGTCGGTGACATACAATAAAATTCATATTATTAATGCATATTTTGATGATGTAAACATATACGGTTAAAGTTATGTACAGTATATATGTTATTTTCTGAGGATCATTTGTTTGAATATGCTTGATAATCTGTTAAGTGTATGAAATCCGAATCGGGTTCATCTGATCTGAATTATGGAAGAAATAATTAAAAGAGTTCATTTGTTACAGAAATGTAGATTCTTAAAAATGAAGAGGGATATATATGATCAGATTAATAATTTCTTAACTTAATTTGTGAATTCTGGATCATTTGATTGATCATAGCTTCTTCTAATTTATTAACACAGATTCCAACAAATACATTTTTTTAAGCAGTAGCAGAATAGCAATAGCAGAACAGCAAAGCAATGCAAGCAGTAGCAGAATAGCAATAGCAGAACAGCAAAGCAATGCAAGCAGTAGCAGAATAGCAATAGCAGAACAGCAAAGCAATGCAAGCAGTAGCAGAATAGCATTAGCAGAACAGCAAGCAGAACACAAAGTAGCAGAAGCAGAACAATAGTAGCAGAAGCAGTAGCAGAACATCAGTAGCAGTAGCAGAAGCAGAACAGCAGTAGTTATGATATCCTGGCTGTGATAGTTCTTGGAGTTATCGGAGGTGTTCTGGGCAGCTTTTATAATTATCTTGTTGACATGCACTATCGTTCACAACGTTGTATCCTGGCTGTGATATGTTTTTTTTTTCAGTTTTTAAAGTGTAATATTACAAGTTATTGAGGCAAATATATGTGTTTTATGTATATTATGATTATATATAAGTATTTGGTACAATTTAAGTGAAAAAAATGCAAAAAAAAAAAAAAAAAAAAAATTTAATTTTTTGGGGCACTTTTGCCACCGGGTCAGTGTGAAAACCGGTGGGAAATGTTATAGTTTTGCCACCGGTTCACCCCAAAACCGGTGGGAAAAGTGCTCAACTATAACATAAATCAAAAGCTTTTGCCACCGGTTCACTCCAAAACCGGTGGGAAAAATGGTTTTTGCCACCGGTTTTGAACCGGTGGGAAATCTTTTGGGATTTCGCACCCCCCAAATCAAAACCGGTTCAAAACCGGTGGGGAATGTATGGTTTGAACCGGTGGGGATTGGGGTTTTTCGCCTAGTGTATGCATTACTTGAGTCGTGCCCCAGGCGGCTAGAAGGCGTGGTACACTTTAACCACGCATGCAGAGTATATGATGACACTGGACAAGCCGTCTAAGTGGATCAATTGGAAAAGCAAGTTCTACTTGGTTTCCTCCCTTTCTAAACTTCTTAACCATCAGCTTCGCCAGTATAATAAGGAGCCGGCTCTTCTAGGGAAAAAGTGTGTCCTTCCCTGTGTCCCTGAGGAAGCTTGAACACAAATAATGGAGGCGGGGTTCTTCAAAAGAACCACCATGCCCTTAGATGATAGGTCAGAAATAATTGTACCCAAGAACTGGGTACCCCATCCGGACTGGCTCAAGGATGAGGCTTTCCTTTCCGCCTGCGGCCTTAGCACCCTTTTTAGCAAACGTATGCAGAACTATTTAACCGGCTCTCTGATGTCGTCTCTTTGGTTCTGATGTTGTATTTGACTTGTTAATTGTTCTATTGCAGAAAAAGGTAGAGATGGTGCCGCCTGAGAAGACTCCGGCTAGGTCAGTAGTCCAGATCTGGAAGGATCAACGGGAAAAGAAGAAGGCCTAACTGGCGGCCAAGGATGATGGGGTAAGCTCCGGTTGTTCCTTTTACTTGCAAGGATTTGTGCCTTCAGGTTACTACTAACCGGCTGTGGTCATTTTGTTTCTTTTTCAGGCTGGAAGCAAGAATGTTCCTCGCTCCATATCCAAAATGTTGAAACGGAGGGCTGAGGAACCTTCCCAGGCTCTTTCCAAAGCAAGGAAGGTTCCGCCTGCCCAGACAGCTTCCTCAAGGTCGCATGTACCTGACCAGCCAACCTCAGCAGGCAAAAGCCTGAAAGATCTCGGTCTGAACACTGAAACGGTGGACCTAGAGCCGGGCGTACCTGGGACGCCCACGAGCCGGCCACTTGCTTCTGCAACTGGTTCCAATGCGGCTGGGGGTATGGTGACCCCTTAGTCTGAAAACCAAGGTATGGCCTTTACCTTTGATCCCCCCTGGCCGCTTGGGCCTATGTGAGTCAAGTCCCAAGCTACCCAATCAAGGGATTCCTCTAGCAGTCGGCAGAATTTAGGTGCCGCCTATGCTGCTATCTCACCATATCACTCTATTGGTGTAGATGCCTCTCTAAGATGGCCTGATCTCCAAAATTATTCTAGAAGGATGCTGAGGACCCTCACCCGGTCCGAGAAGGAGACAATCCTTGGGGTGCATCAGGTCAACATGAACCGCATCAACGCCTTGCTTGCTGAGGTAATTTGTCGGCTGAGTTATCTAAGCCAAGCTAGCTCTTTACCGGCTGAGGTATCTTGATGTAAATAAACTTGTTGCCTGATGAGTTAACAGGTAAATTAACAATTTGCCGTCGAGTTTTGCAGGTAATGCTGAGAGTGGAAGGGCTCAAAGTCCCTTTCAGAAAGAAGCAGGAGGAGGTAAGAGACGTCAATAAACGGGCGGCTGATACCCTTGATGTTGCTCAATACAAATGTACTATGCATGAAATAAGGACTAAAGCCCGGGAGATGAAACAGGAGGAGCTGATCAAGGAGCTCACTACTGCTGCGGAGACGGCCAACAAAAATGCGTCTGACTTTGAGCTTCAAGTAAAAAACCTCCAGTTAAATCTGAAGGGATTGGAGGATGCCGATAAGGAGAATACCCAGCTTAGGGCAGACATCTCCTGGCTGAAGGACGAGCTGGCCCAGGTGCAGGCTGACCACAAGGCGGAGCTGGCGGCCGAACAAGAGTAGCTGGTGGGTGAGAATGAGCGTGATTGCGAAGCACGCATGAAGATATCATGGAATCTCATCCACTCGGACTATGACTGGGACTTCTTCAACTTAAGGTATCAATATGCCACTGAGGTATACGATGCCCAGTCTCTCGGTCTTGAGGCACCTGCTCCGTTCGAAGAGTGGGTCGGCATTGAACCGTCCGATGAGGAGCATGAGGATGAGGAACTCAATGTGCAAGAAGACCAAGCATCGTTGTTACTGTCCAAGTTCAACTAGGGCAATCTGCAAGCGAGCTCCCATCCGATGAAGGCCAGACGGTAACTCCACCACCTCAACAGCAACAAAAGTAAACTTGTCTATCTCCGGCCTACGTGGCATGTATGTGAATGTGTTTTCTTATTTCCCCAGATGTTGTTCCGGCTGACAATTATTTTGGTTTCTTGGCCAGTTTCTAATACAATTTACCGACTGTGTCGGTTTTGCAAGCCTATTTGCTTCAATTTTTCAACTTTTGCAATTCTTTAATATGCACGTAGCACGTATATTTTGCTAAGTAACCTAATACATGCGGCTTACTGGATGTACCGTGTTTATCTGCCCCTGGACGGGTGTGCGCTTAGTAATTGCCCCAACCCTAGCAGGCAGTCGTCCAATAGGCATCCGAAAAGTCAGACGGTCATTGACTGCATCTGAATAAATTTTTCAAGATTTATTTCAAAGTTGAAATAACAGATGATTTTGACCAGGTTCTAACCTAGATTATTCGATCAACCAGCTGCTAATTAACCCTTAGGATATTCGGTCTTTGCCAATTGTTTAATAGCAAGCGGCCATTTACCGTGTGTAGGTGTCATAACCAAATATGTTTTAGCTGCTAAGGTTTTGACTTAACGTAAATCTTCAATTTTGATAATTGTTTGTATTGCTTCAGAACAATGACCGGTTATATCCAACCAAGATACCAGTTACCGTTTGTATTGCCTTTGAGCAATAACCGGTTATATCCAGGTCTCAATTGATCATTCAAACGGCTGCGAGTTATCTTAAATCTAGACAGTCGGTAGGGCTATTTGTGTTATAGTTTATTGAACAATGTACCACCCAAATGCGAGATGCTCTCTTCGACGATTTCACGCGGATGGGCGTCGCCGGTTGCCTGCTCATGTTGGAGCAGGCGACGGTTTCAAGGATATCTGGCCATTGGCCTTATTAATAGCTGCTAAGTATTTGACTTAGCCTATCTACTCATGTTGGAGCAGACGTAATGAATTTATACAAGTCCGTCTGTACATTTTACAGTTGGTATATATACAGGAAGCAATAAACATGTGAAAATAAAGCTTCTTTTCATTGATAAACTTTATCTACAAAATTTTACAAGTCTCAGAAGTAGTACTTTTTCAAGTTGTCTACGTTCCAAGTTTTAGCTAGCTGCCTGCCGTCTGGAGTTCCCGGGCGGTATGTGTTGCCTCTCACTTCTTCATAAATCTAAATGGGAGTCAAATTTCCTTGCTCATTGGCCCTACTGGTTGCTTCCATTTTTCGTAACACCAAGTCCCCCACTTTCAAGGGCTGTTTGTGTACTCTTTTGTTGTAGGCGCTTGTCATTCTCAGACGGTAAATCTCATGACGCAAGGCGGCATTGCCCCTGCGCTCTGGGAGTGAGTCCAATGTCAGCCGCATGGCCTTCCAATTAGCCTCTTTGTCATAGAGCATGACTCAAAGAGTTGGATAATAATGCTCAATAGGCAGGACGACCTCTGCCCCGTATGCCATGAGAAACGGGGTTTCACTGGTTGCCCCTTTTTCAGTTGTTCTGATGGACCATAGGACATGAGGCAACTCATTTGCCCATAAAACCGCCGGCTCTTTCAATTTTCTTTTTAATGTTGTCTAAGATGAGCTTGTTGAAGGCTTCAACTTGGCCGTTTGCTTGGGGACGGCCGACTGATGCAAAACAATGTGAGATCCCTTGATATCCTAACCAACTGAGGGTAGACATCTATAACTGAGGGCCATTGTCAAAGACCATAGACATAGGTACCCCAAACCGGGTGACGATATTCCTCCAAATAAATGAAGGAGATGACATCCTTTGTCTTTATGCCCTTGACCGCCTCTTCTTCTACCCATTTGGTGAAATAATCAACGACAGCTAGAATATACCTCCGACCGCCTGTTGCAGGCGTATATGGACCTAGAATGTACATGCCTCATTTGGCGAATGGCACTAGGCTGTGAATATCCGTCAGATTTGTAGCCGGTCGGTGTATGAGTTTGCCGAACTTTTGACACTTGTCACACTTCTTCACCATTTCCATGCCATCTACCTCAAGGGTGGGCCTAAAAGTAGCCTTGTCGCCTGGTTCTCTTGGCTAGAGTTCTGCCGCCTATATGTGATGCACAAAAGCCCGAGTGCAGATCCTCTAGAACCTCTTTCCCCCTTTCTAGGGTGACACATTTCAGCAGCGGCTGGAGGTAACCCTTCTTGAAAAGTTCTCCATTATGAATGTCAAAAGTTGCGGCACATTTTTTCATTGCAGCCGCTTCTGAGTATGCATCCGGCAGAGTGTCGTCTGTAAGATTAGCCTGGATGCCATCCATCCAGGTCGAGCTTTGGTCAAGAATTCCAATGGGATCATGCTCAATACTTTTTTTTTCCATGACTTCCTAAAAGACTGACCTAGGTGCATCACAAGATGCGGATGATGCCAGCTTAGAGAGAGCATCCGCCTGGTTGTTTTCTAACTTGGGCACTTGGCTTAGATGAAATTCATCAAGTGTCCTAGCCTCATCTTTGACCGCCTAAAGGTATTTGATTATAGCCGGATGGGTGGCCTCGTAGTCACCATGGTATTGGCTAACAATCAACTGTGAATCAGAGCATGCGT